AGTACCCTGTCAGGTAGTCTCACTTTGTGAGTATGGAAGCTGAGGCAGGGTGACATTAAGTAACTTACATAACTCATATGGTAATTTGTGCAGTTGGGAGATGTTCATCCTCAGTCCCTGGCCATTTGGCCATTCTTTTCCAGCCTGATTCTTTCCCCATGGGAAGAACCCACCTGTAGCCCTGAGGTTCCCTTCCCAGGACAGCTCCAGGTTGGGGATCATTGTAGGTGGTTGTGGGGTTGACACCCCTATTGACTCCTTCCCAGCTGATGGTCAGAGCCTTAGACCCAGCACTCCTTGGATTAGCTCTGCCGAGTGTCTTGGTTGAGAGAATAACCTCACGGTACCCACGTGACACGTGACTTGGAAGGAGACTTGAGGCCACACTGAGTAAATAATGGTGCACAGGTGTGCCCACCCAACAACTGTGCTGAGTGACCATGCAGCCAGAGCCAAGCTTCCTACAGTCAGGGTTTCCAGGCAGAGCAAATACCCTAAAGAATCTGTGTAATGCAGGAAATTTAGATGGAGGAAGCTAGAATTACAGGAATGTCTTTAATCCTGCTGTGGACTCGCTCTCCTGGAAAGGGGTCTCTCCACCCCTTGTCACTGGTGGGTATTAAACCGATATTCCTTTCAACTGCTGCCTCCTAGGGAAACTGTTCCTCATTATCATGACTACTATTCCTCCCCACTGTATCCCCTCTACTTGGTATGTGCTTGTCGAGTCTTGATTGTTCAATAAATTTGTTAAAAATGCTTATTCTTCAACTTGGCTTTTTCTAGACTCTGGTATCTACCCAACACAGCATCTACTCAACTCTGGTATCTACTCAACACAGAGTAGTCCACACACCCACTGTACTCTGCAATTTGAGTTTATCTCACTGCAGCATTTTCACAGAAACCTTATTGTATGCATTTTTTATTGCTGCCATCTGAATTACCATAAATTCATAGACTTAAAGCAACACAAATATATGATCTTACAGTTCTGTATGTGAGAAGTCCCACAGGGATCTCACCAGGCTAAAATCAAGATGTCTGCAGGCTGGATTCATTTTTGGAGTGTCTAAGGAAGAATCTGTTTCCTTGCTTATTCAAATTGTTGGCAGAAGCAGTTCCTTTCATTTATAGGCCTGAAGTCCCAGTTGTTTCTTGGTTAACAGCTAAGCGCTGTGCTCACTTCTACAGGCTACCACACCCTGGCTCCCAGATCCCCTCCCCCATCTTCACAGCAGCAACAGTGTGCTGAGGCTCATCTCCTAGTTCTTTTTCTCCATTGTGTCTCTTTGATTCCTTTACCTTCTCCTGTCGTTTCTTTTTTTTTTTTTTTTTTTCATTGATGGGGATTCATTCTGTCACCCAGGCTGGAGTGCAGTGGCGTGATCTCAGCTTATCACAAACTTTGTCCCCTGGGCTCAAGCAATCTACCCCCTTCAGCTTTCCAAGTAGCTGGAACCATAGGCCCACGTCACCATGCCCTGGTATTTTTTTTTTTTTTTTTTTTTTTTTTTTTTTTTTTTGTAGAGACAGGGTCTCCTCATGTTGCCCAGGCTGTTGTCAAACTCCTGAGCTCAAACAATCTGCCCACCTTGGTCTCCAAAAGTCCTGGGATTATAGGTATGATGGTCACCGCGCTGCCTTTTACTTTTAAAGACTCCTTTGATTAGACTGAGTCTGCCCAAACAATTGAGAATAATCTTTCTATTTTAAGGTCCATAACCTTAATTCTGTGTAAAATCCGTTTTGCCATGTTATACATTCAATTCATAAATTTCATAGTGGATTGAAGGGCGGGCGGAGCGCTATTCAGCTCACCACACTTATCTCAGAAGTGATCCCAGGAAACACATGCAGAAATAAATTGAGAAATGGAAGAAAGCCAGTCACAGGAGAAATGGGATAAAGGGTTCACTCACGAGTCTGTTACCATGTGGATATCTTGGCTCAATCACTTTTAGGACTCTCTAAGAAACCATATGAAATGTGTGATACAGCTCAGAATCTTCCTAAGGATTGCAGGGCATGAGACTTTATACTTCCCATCCTCCTTTGCTTGAATTGGTTGAAGGTTGGCCTGGGAGTGTTAATTCTAATGCACTTGAAGATTGGGCTATGTAACTGCAGAAAAGCAACTATCACTGGTTTGATAAAGCTCTCAGGCAAAGGAGAAGGGAGATGGGAAGGTTATTATCCTTGCGGGGAACTGTGCTTCAGCTATTGGCAAACTCTGATAGGCCAAGAGAATATGGGATGGGGCATCAACAGCATCTGTTCTAAGGGCTCTGCCTCTGAGAATATAGGGAATGCCTTTCAAGGTCTCTCTGCACCCCCGCCCCCCACCATATTCACTTAGCATTAGTGACCTCTTGTCTTCCATACATGTGCATATCACATGGCCCTGCAGCCTCACCACATGGACTAGGTCTGGGATGGACACCTGACCCAGGCTGGGCCCCGGGACCAAGTGACATGTGACCAGTTACACCTGTAGCAGATGTGCATGGGAGCTGTGGGAAGAAATCTTCCATTCATGGTGCAGACTAAAGGATGGTAGATTGCAGAGAACACCAAAGCAGATGAGTAGAGAGGAGGCTCCAAAAGGAGAGTTCAGGCAATCTTCTCATGCTCAGTTCTTTTGGAAGCCCAGTATCACTTCTTCTTTTTGATAAAATTTGTTCTCTTGAGGTAAGGTAAATGTACCAGTTAATATTGCTGCAGTCCTAATATTTAGAAGCTTACCATTATAATATGCTCAATGATTCTGTGAGTCAGGAATCTCGAATTTGAACAGGGCAGAATAGGAATGGATTTTCTGTGTGCCAAGATGCCTGGGCCTCCCCTCAGGGTACTCCATAGCTGGAGATGACACACCCATATGACCTCCAAAGACTAGTTATTGCAAAGCAAAAGGGAGTTGGTGCTCACCTTGTGTACTGGTTCTTCCAGGGTTGGCAGGTCCATAGGGAACCTTGCTGAAGCCACCCTTCCTGTCTCTTTATCTCTCCCACTGTAGAGCATGATTGGATTAGGTCGTTGCTGCCTAACTAGGCACACCCAGGGAGAACCTAGTTTCTTGATAAGCCACCCCATGATCAACTGATCCTCTTCCTTCTAAGAACACAGGGTTTCCCTCCTGCTCAGATCAACTTTGGCAGAGGCTCAGGCCTGGCTTAGCTGGATGCTTCTGACACAAGAGCTGCTTCCAAAGCACTGGGCCTTATTTCTTCGGGTAAAAAATATAAAGCTGGATCTCATCCCGGCTGGTCATGCTCTTAGACTCTTGTATTCTTCTCTTCTGCCTCTTCTCAACAGCTGCACAGTCCTGGTTGGAATGTTCTAATACTGATGTATTTACCCTCATTAGCTACTCAACCCAGAATCCTATTTTAATTATAATCCAGAAACATCAGGTGATGAATGAGACTGCTGTATGAGAAAGAGACAGTTTAAGGGTCAGTGCAATGGAAAAAAACGGTTAAACAGTTCTTAAGGTTTTCTCTAGCTTATTCTCATCCAAGAGCTTTCATTGCAGAAGGAACCTACTGGATCTTCCTTCCTGGTCCTTGAACTTCTGACCTAGGGTGGCTTAATCCTGCTGCTACCTCTCTCTGGCACTCCACTGCTAATAATTACAGGAACTGGGCCACGCTGTGGTGGGAATGACCTTACCCTGAGCACGTCACTCATTCACTGAACAACAGCTGAGAGCAGAGCTTAGGCCTCAGCCCTATAAGGAGAGAGGAATCACATGCTGCAGAGGTCTGTCCAGAGGAGCAGGTACTCTAGCCACAGCAAAGACACAGTTGATACCTGGATCACAATAATTGAAGACAGGACATGAGAACAGCAAAAGATGTGGGTGTCAGAAGAGGCTGAGAGCACTTCAGGCAGGAGCACTGAGTTGTGCTCTGAGGACGGAGGCACGAAGGCTGGGCAGGATTTCAAGGGCAGAGAGGGAGCAAACAATTCAAGTGAAAGTCGTGGCATGGAAAGGGAGCGCTGGCCACAGGGAGTGCAACGTTGTGACAGAAGGCCGCTGTGGAGCCATTGCTAATGTATTAATGCAAAGTTTGGAATTGAATCGGAAAGGAATTGGAGGCCTCCAGACTAAGCATTTGGTCGCTTGAGGGGAATATTCACAACCGGTCACCTCAGAAAGATCATTCTGGAAGATATCTTTACAATGTCAAGATTGGAGCCTTTGGGAGAGGGATTAAGTTTGCGGGAGGATGGTATGTGTGCCGGTGTGTGTGTGTGTGTGTGTGTGTGTGGCCATTGTACCTAACCTGACCACCTACTTTCTAGAAGGTAAAGGGCAGCTAGAAAGTCTTTGCTCACTTCCATCTTCTGGCCCCACCAGACTGACACCTCCCTGAGGAAAAGGGATTTTGCTGCTCACTCAATATCCTCAGCACCTCTTATCCAATAGCTCTGGAATGAATACAAGGCCTTCATAACAGCCAGTGCACCTGCTGTCTCCTTTCCTTTGCTACCCCTCCCTCTCCAGCCATGCCTGCTTCCCCCAAGCCCTTCCATGCTCGGGGCCCAACCTCCAAACCCAGCAACTTGAACAAGAGTCGTCTGGCTTTGGAAAGACGGCGGCTTATGTTTTCCTCCTCATGTTTCCTCCCCAGCAAAATCATCGTCTACTTAGAGAGGCCTCTCTTCTTGGATACCAGCAAAGCCAGCAACCTCGGGGCACCCCTCGGGGAATCTCAAAGCTTGAGAGAGAGAGAGAGACCGAGAAAGAGAGAGAAACGACGAGAAAAAGAGAGAGAGGGAAAGACAGAGAATCTTGCTTTTGAACAAAGAAAAGGGAAATAAAAAGACCCCATCATCTCAAAAGGTTATTTGCTGCCTGAGATTTCTGATTCTGTGTATTCTACCTAGCAACTGCTGAGAAACAAGGCTCCACACCATTGGCTGGTTCACTTACCCGCGGCCAATCCTGGCTCGAAACTATTTAGGGAACTCGGGAGGGACCAGCGGACCCGCAGCTGCAGACATGGCGACTTAGGGGAAAGAGAGGAGAGTTTCTCTCTCTTTGGAGATGGTTTGTGTCTAGTAGTGCCCGTGCCCCTGGGCAGGTTGGAGAGAAGAAGGACGGCTGGAGAATCGTCATTTGAGGACCAGAGGAGAAAAGAAGACGCCACGTTAATTCGACAAGGTGCGGAGGGGAGGGGAGGCGCCGCAGCTCCGGGGCGGGGCGGTGGGGGGAGCGGCCTCCGCTGTGGACGCGAGCGCGGGGCCTGGGAGAGGGAGGCCACGGCGGGGAGGCGCGGGCTGGCCTGGCTTTACCTCCCGTGGCCCGGCCTGGGTGCGGGGAGCGGGAAGGGAAGGGAGGAGGGTGCGGAAGATTCCAGCGACCACTGAAGAAAGCGGACGCTGGCCGGAGAAGTGAGTGGAGGAGGGCGGGAAGCGGCCCGCTCCATCTTGGCCCTGATTGCTTATTCCGTGGAATGTTTAGGGAACCCTCTCTCGGGAGGTACCTGAGCCTTCACATGCAGGGGACTCGCTGACGTTGGGGGCTGATGAGACCTACTTGAGTGACAGGAGAGGTTGGGTCCGACCAGCACCGAGGGGCCAAGACTCCTAGGCTGATTCTCCTCCCTGTAACCCTAGGCCTCGGGTCCCTGCCTGCCCCGGTGCTCATGGAACCTGCTGCTGCCCTGCCCTTCTCCCTGCCAGCCTCCCTCCTGCTCCTCCTCCTCAGCCTGCGTGCACTGGTCTCAGGTAGGAATGTGTGCCGCGTGCTGCTGTCACCTGTGGGAAAGGAGCGTCAACACTGCAGTCTGCAAAGGGAAAGGACTGTGGGATCGTTGACTCAGCCTTTCATTCTGAGCATGCCCACTGAATTTACCAGCCCTGTCCGAAAGAAATACAGCCAGGCACAAAGGTCAAGTGCGTGTACAGTAGCACATTTTCAAAAAAATTACATTTTACTTTTTAAGAAGTAAAAAACATGAAATAAATTTGTATACTATATCTGTTTCATCCCAAATAATCAAATATGAATATGTAAATGCTTAATACACCATTTTACCAACGAGATAGTCAACATGTTGAAACTTTAGATCTTCATAATCCTGTGTGTATTTTACACTCACAGCTCCTTTCAGCTGGAACCAGCTAGTGGATAGGTGCCCTATTGATAGCTCAAGTTTACACTATAGTCAGGCACATCGCTAGATTGGGGAATGGAGGAAAATGTCCTCAGGGGCACAGGGTGGACAGAGGGTGCTCAGGGCGGGCTCCCCAGTGTTTCCTTGGTGAAGCAGAAGCACTTTTCATAGTTACTGCTCCCAGGGGTGTTGTTGACTAGCCACAGCTATGGAGAGAACATATTTGTCCCTGGACTATCTTCTTCCTTTCCTGCCTTAGAGATGTAGTGACTGCCGTCCTTGTGTGATTCTACCCTTTTGCTGAACAGCCCAGTTGACTGTGGTGGGGCCCACTGACCCCATCTTGGCCATGGTGGGAGAAAACACGATGTTACGCTGCCATCTGTCCCCTGAGAAAAATGCTGAGGACATGGAGGTGCGGTGGTTCCGGTCTCACTTCTCCCCGGCAGTGTTCGTGTATAAGGGTGGGAGACACAGAACAGAGGAGCAGATGGAGGAGTACCGAGGAAGAACCACCTTTGTGAGCAAGGACATCAGCAGGGGCAGCGTGGCCCTGGTCATACACAACGTCACAGCCCAGGAGAACGGCACCTACCGCTGTTACTTCCAAGAAGGCAGGTCCTCCGATGAAGCCATCCTGCGCCTCATGGTGGCAGGTGCGTCACTTCCTTTTGCTTTGTTACTCTAGCACAGTGTGACTCTTGGGGAGAGTTTCTTCCTTAATTTCAGGCCCATAACAGATTAGCAGATTTTTGCCTGGAATCCCCTTTCCACAGGGAGATTCCACAGGGACCCTCTCTCTGTGGAAAGGAAATTCCAGGGAAAAATCCTTCTGCACAAGGGCTGCACGGGTGGATTTGCCCTTTTTTTTTTTTTTTTTTTTTTTTTGAGACAGAGTTTCGCTCTTGTTAACCCAGGCTGGAGTGCAATGGCACGATCTCGGCTCACCGCAACCTCCGCCTCCTGGGTTCAGGCAATTCTCCTGCCTCAGCCTCCTGAGTAGCTGGGATTACAGGCACGCACCACCATGCCCAGCTAATTTTTTGTATTTTTAGTAGAGACGGGGTTTCACCATGTTGACCAGGCTGGTCTCGATCTCTTGACCTTGTGATCCACCCGCCTCGGCCTCCCAAAGTGCTGGGATTACAGGCTTGAGCCACCGCGCCCGGCCCGGATTTGCCCTTTTAAGCCGTGGGCTTCTCTTCTTGAGAAGCACACATAGAATTCCGCTGAGGCCATGAGCAGGGGAAAATGGTGAATCTCGGAAGAGAAGTTTAAGCCTGCCTTAGCGTTGAACCATGCCCTTTTTTTGAGACGGAGTCTTGTTCTGTTTCACCCCAGCTGGCACCATCTTGTCTCACTGCAACCTTCCAGGTTTCACTTCTGAGAGTTAGAGGAGACACTCGATAATTGTTCCAAGACAACTGGAATAAATGATTGCCCAGAGAACTACGACATATCAAATCTTATTTCTTGATAAATACTAATCTTGACTTCTTTCTCAAAATGCTGATTGCAGAGAGAGAGAGTTATTTGTAAACAGATGGTTTTATTAAAGCAAGACTAACTACAGAAGCAAAATTATATATAATTCCTGCTAACTCCATAGCCAAAGACTAAGAATTTTGCTGGGAGGTAATAGGGAAGGCTTCAACATAAAAATGCATTTAAAATGTAATTTCTAGCAGTTTGTTAAAGTGACGTTAAGTGATTACATCAGTCTTGGGGTTAGTGTATTATGCTTTAAAAGGTATATTTGGGCCAGGAACAGTGGCTCACCTGTAATACAAGCACTTTGGGAGATAGAGGCAGGTGGATTACTTGAGACCAACCTGGCCAACATGGTGCAACCCCATCTCTGCTGAAAATATAAAAACATTAGCCAGGTTTAGTGGAGTGTGCCTGTAATCCCAGCTTCTTGGGAGGCTGAGGCACAAGAATTGCTTGAACTTAGAAGGTAGAGGTTGTAGGGAGCTGAGATCTCACCACTTCACTCCAGCCTGGGTGACAGAGCAAGACTCTGTCTCAAAAATAAAAATAAAAAAATAAAGTAAGCCTTGGGCAACATGGCAAAACCCAGTCTCTGTAGAAAAATACAAAAAAAAAACAAAAACAAAAATAGCTGGGCATGGTGGTGCATGCCTGTAGTTCCAGCTACCTGGGAGGCTGAGGTGGGAGGAACACCTGAGCCTCAGAAGTCAAGGAAGCAGTGAGCCATGATCATGCCTCTGGATGCCAGCCCAGGTGATACAGTGAGACTGTGTAAAAAAAAAATTTTTTTTTAATTAAATTGAACCAAAGCACTAGACTTGTTACTGGTTTAATTTCCTGTCTTTGGTAAAATTCGTTGGGAGACTTTACAAAGGAATTACTCAGAAGTTGTTTGGATGATCACACACGGCTGAAAGGTATCCCAGGACCATGCATTTGTAGCTCTTTCTTACCTGGTATTCACTTTTATTGAAAATTCATTTAAAGACGGATTGTAGTTATTGTAGTTAGGGTGAGTCTAGATTCTTAGGATTTTTGGTGATGATCTCTGATACTGAAAATGTGGTATGGTGATTATCTTAATCCCTGGATCATCCAGATCTTTCTAATAAATTGATGTTCTCAAAGTACCGTAAGAAAATTGCCCTGCCTGGGCAACATAGTGAGGCTTTGTCTCTACAGAAAAATAAAATGGTAGTAGCCAAGCATGGTGGAACATGCCTGTAATCCTAGCTCGTTGGGAGGCTGAAGTGGGAGGATCTCTTGAACCCAGGAGTACAGGGCACAGTGATGATTTTGCCACTGTACTCCAGCCTGGACAAGAGTTAAACCCTGTCTCTAAAAAAGCAAAAGGAAAACTAAAGAGGCATTGCCTTACAGATGGAGCCTCTGGGACGTAAACAGTGTGAGTTAGGATTAGAGGTGGCTTTGTGGAGCAGCATGTTGAAGCTCCTAAAAACCATCACCTCCTACGCGTGGTAGAGAGCAGTGGTTATGTGAAGTTCTGAACTAGACAGAAGGGTCATTGTCTTTGGTCAAAAGGTTTCTTAGGATTCTGCCCGCCTGGCAGATTTTTGTCCTTCTTGTTGTTATTCTAGAGCTTCTGGAAGCTGAGGTCTACTGAGAAGTCATCTCAGGAGCAGAAAGTGAAATCCACAACCTGTCTGTTTCAAGTTGAACTCGACATACCCGCCTTGAAGTGAGAAAGTTAGTCTGGCAGGATAAATTGAGCAAGCATTTATAGCAAACAGATGCTTGGTGCTTTGATGGGGCCTGTAGGTGGACCACAAAGAAAAGGGTGCAGTGTGATCCTTTCCTCTTAGAGAGCTCACAGTTCATGTGGCCCGCTGGTCTCCTGGTGTTCTCCCACATCAGGGTTCTTTGTTCCTTACCCGCACCCTTTTTTCCCTCCTTCCTCTTTCTTGCTTCCTACCTCTGTCTTTTTTTCCTTTGCTTTCTCCCTTCACAGAAGAGAGGCAGTAGGTACTGACACCCCACTGCCTCTTGGCTGAGCCGGAGTATCTCTTCCCCAGGACTGGGCTCTGAGCCCCTGGTTGAAATGAGGGGCCACGAGGATGGGGGCGTCCTGCTGGAGTGCATATCCAGAGGGTGGTACCCGAAGCCCCTCACGGTGTGGAGGGACCCCTCTGGTGAGGTCATGCCTGCCCTGAAGGAGGACTCCACCCCTGACGCAGACGGCCTCTTCATGGTCACCACAGCTGTGATCATCAGAGACAGGTCCGTGAGGAACATGTCCTGCTCTGTCAACAACACCCTGCTTGGCCAGAAGAAAGAAAGTGTCATTTTTATTCCAGGTGAGTTCTCTGACCTTTGAGCCTAATCGAGTACATGGGGGATCCTCAGCACACAGATGGAGCCCAGAGCGGGTGTGGGGCAGCAGTGTGGGTGGCATGGTCTTGGACCTCAGCTGACCTGAGGCCTCTCCCCTTGCCACAGAGGGAGAATCAAAGAGTCCCAACACACAGGAGTAGGAGCCTCTTCTCTGAGGGTCAACCTGGTCTTTTTTTTTTTCTATTAAGGTCCTCATGCTGCAGCAAATTTTTTTTTTTTAGGACAGGGTCTTGCTCTGCCACCCAGGGTGACATGCAGTGGTGCCGTCTTGACTCACTGCAGCCTCTGCCTCCCGGGTTCAAGTGATTCTCATACTTCAGCCTCCTAAGTAGTTAGAACTACAGGCACATGCCACCCACCCAGCTAATTTTTGTATTTTTAGTAGAACGGGATCTCCCCTTATTGGCCAGGCTGGTCTTGAACTCCTGACCTCAAGTGATCCACCCACCTCAGCCTCCCAAAGTGCTGGGATTACAGGCATTGAGCCACTCTGCCTGGCCAGCAATTTTTAAACACTGAAAACAACCATAACACAGGGAGAGTGGTGTGGATAGGTGACTCTATACTTAGTGTTCCTGTATGCTGCAGCCATCCTTACCTACCCAAGTAATTTTCCGAAGGACAGAGCTGGGGAAATTCCTTATTGACACACACTCATAATTCATTCAGCAAATGCTCAAGAAACATATCGTATGTTCAAGACACTGTTCTAGAAACTGAGAGTAAATTATTGAATAAATTATATGAAGATGTCTTCCCTCATGAACAAATTATATGAAGATGTCCTTCCCCAGCCTGAGCAAAAAAGTGATTAAATAATTAATTAACTATGTATTCTATCAGATGGTGATGAACATCTATAGGAAACATTGAGCAAGGAGGGAATAAAGAGGCAGGGGCCTGAGACATTGCAGTTATGAACAGAAGGGTCAGGGAAGGCATCACTGTGAAGATGGGAATGGATTCATCCCATCCAATGGCAAGGAACCGTCAGACGCTTAAGGACTGAGCAGCCCAGCTACAGGAAGAGCAGATGCAAAGGGCCTGTGGAAGGAGCATCTCTGGCAGTTGCCAGGACCCCCAGGACGTGATGCTGGTGTGGCTGAAATGGAGTGAGTGAGTGCAGGAAGTGACAGGAGATGAATTCACAGAGGGAATGAAAACACATTTTATATGGCATCATAAGCCACAAACAGACTTTGACTCTTAGAGTGAGTGAGATGGGAAGCACTGGAAGGTTTTGAGCAAATAATTAACATGGTCTCACTTGGGCTGCTCTGCAGAGGACAGACTGCCGATGGTAAGGGCAGAACAAGGAGGGCACTGCAGTATTCCAGGCGTGAGTGATGGTGGCTTGAGGCGGGGTGGTGGCTGTGCTGACTCAGCACGGCGGGTCAGCTTCACACACCGGGTCCTTCCCGTGCTGACTCCAGATGTTTCTGCTTTGCTGGGCCCTGGCCTGGAAGCCACTGAGGTGTCGGCCAGCAGTGAGCCAGCATCTCTTTCACCGTCTGAGTTTTCTGAGGGAGAAACAAACACAACAGGTAGCTGAGGAGCTCTTGAGATGCGCTCCTAGGGGCATCTCGGCCCAGATGTTGTCTTCAAACTAAGTGGACATTTCTGGCTGCCTTTTCAGAATCCTTCATGCCCAGTGCGTCTCCCTGTGTGGTGGCCCTGCCTGTCATTGTGCTTATTCTGATGATACCCATTGCCGTATGTATCTACTGGATCAACAGACTCCAAACGGAAAAAAAGATGCTGTCAGGGGAAAAGGAGTTTGAACGGGAAATGAGAGAAATTGCTGTAAAGGACCTGGAGAAAGAACGTGTGGAAAAAGAGAAAGAACTTCAAAGGAAAGGTAAAAGAGGCTGGGTATGGTGACTCATGGCTTGTATCCCAGCACTGTGGGAGGCTGAGGCAGGCGGATCACTTGAGCCCCGAAGTTTGAGACCAACCTGAACAGTAAAGTAAGACCCTGTTTAATGAAAAATAAATAAATAAATAAAAGAGTATGAGGACAGTTCAGCATTATAGAAAGGACACAACCCTCCCAGGTACCATCGTAGGGAAGAGAGAGGAAATGCACAGCAGCAGCAGCAAGGGCTTGGAACTCACATCCTCAGAATGAGTCTTGAGAGCTTGTGTTCTTTCCTTCTGCCCGCACTGCGTTCATTCACCTGGCTACATGAAGTACTAAATGGTTGAGCAAAAGCAAGTCTAACAAGGCACTGATAGTACCCAGCCACCTGATCGTGTGTCATTTCTGGTTTCTGATAGTGTCCTAGGTATGAGGGAAGGGAGATATTGCTGTTCATAGAAAGGAGGGTTCCTGCTTTTTTAGTTCTTCTGTTGAAGACATCATTTTGCTTCTGTTTGTTTTCCTTTTTTTTTTTTTTTTTTCAGAGCAACTTCAAGAAGAACTGAGTAAGTTTAGCCTTTCCTGAACTACTGGGTGTACAATTTGTGTTCTGCTCAGTGAGCAGCATCTCATGACATTCACCTGTCTGTCCCTTGCAGGATGGAGAAGAGCATTCTTACATGCTGGTGAGTGCCTCTGATGTTCCCTCAGACCTCAGCTGTCTCCCCACTAGCCAGCTAACAGGACTCCTTAGAGGAGAAGAGCAGGGGGCCCAGGGCTGGGCGGGGGCAGCAGGTAACTGGGGTCAGATCTCCAGCAGGGCCCCAGCAGTGATGCATCACGGCTCTTCTGTCAGGGAATCCCAGCAGCTCTCACTCAACCCTATGGTTTACATCTCCCGATCCGTTCTCTTGTGGAATAATTTAATGTGTGATTGCCAGAGGTTTTCCATATATAATAGCCTTCCTAAGAGTTACGTTTCAGTAGTTGTTGCTCTTCGATCCTGGATCAATTTGAAAAAAGACAATTCTTTTGTCTTAGCACTTTATATCCTGGGGATGGTGTAGACTGTGCAAAGTTGAAAACCCATGTCGGGAAGAGGCCTCGAGGGTTCTTATGACACAGTAAGCCTGACACAAGGGTGTACCAATTGGTGGCCAGAAATGCCTTTCTGCTTCTAAGAGAGCACTGACGCTCTGTGTCTAGCCTGCCAGGGGAGGAGGAGCCACAGGTGAGTGGGAGAGCGCGGAAGCCAGTTGCCTGCTCCCAGTGCGCACTTCCCGTCTTGTGATTCAGCCCCTCCAGCCGTAAGTACCACAGAGTCCCAGCTTTACCAGATACCATGGCACAGGGACCTTTCCTCTTTAGGTGAATTTCAAAATTGCCACTGTCGACTTGGGACAAAATAGCAAATTGTCACAAGCAGACATACTAACTTGGGGAATGGAGGAAATCATTTTAACACCGTAGAAAGGTAGACTGGGTAAGTAAGAATAAATGCAGATGGGAGAGGCCTGCAGAATTCCTGGAGTCTGGAGCATTTCTTGCACCAACAGAAGTGATTCCTGTAGACTGCAGAGCCATGTTGTCGAAGCAAAACTGGATGGAAGTAGTTTCTCCCGACCTTTGCCGACAGACCGCAGGCAGCAGGTTTTCTTTTGGGGACATGTATTCTCCCTCTTTATTTTTTGAAGGGTGCCCTTGTCAGTCATTTAAGTCAGTTGTGGTCTGGTAAAAGGAACACATAGTACCAATGAAGTACCGTTGAGGTCACTGTGAAGGGAAAGACTCACCTTAGTTGATGGATTGAGGAGAGGAGGAGTGGGACATAAAGCTTCTGTGCTGGTTTGAGCCAAGCTGGAAAGTTTCTAATTAAAGAAAGTCCCAAGGATCATATGTCTACATTTTGTTTTGTTTTGTTTTTCTTTTTGGAGACAGTTGCTCTCTGTCATCCAGGCTGGAGTGCAGTGGTACGATCTGGGGCTCACTGCAACCTCTGACTCCCAGGTTTAAATAGTCGTCGTGCCTCCACCTCCTGAGTAGCTAAGATTACAGGCATGCAGCACCATGCCCGGCTAATTTTTGTATTTGCGTAGAGAAGGGGTTTCACCATGTTGTCCAGGCTGGTCTCGAACTCCTGACCTCAAGTGATTCACCCACCTCAACCTCCAAAGTTCTGAGATCACAAGCATGCGCCACCACACCTGGCCAGAAATCATATGTCTTCAATAGAAAAGGGAACACATCTTCGAATGCTGAGAGAAAGTAAGAATGATTAATTTTGCCTCATTTGCCAAACATTCTGGATTTCTTAGAGCTCCAATTCTTCTCAACCTGAGGACGTTGCTTCTGTCTCTGAAGAGATAGAAGTATAGCTTCAGTGAATCTCAGTGTGTGAGCTGCCTGGAATCTGGGGCCATTCATGGAAGTGGCCAGTACATAGGGATTCCCCCTGCAGATATCTGAGACCTGTCTGGGGATCAGGAACCACACAATCCCCAGGGTTCCTGAGACCCCAGGCCTAAACCTGAGACTTCCTCTGCAGCCGATGTGGTCCTGGACCCAGACACCGCTCATCCCGAGCTCTTCCTGTCAGAGGACCGGAGAAGTGTGAGGCGTGGCCCATACAGGCAGAGTGTGCCAGACAACCCAGAGAGATTCGACAGTCAGCCCTGTGTCCTGGGCCGGGAGAGCTTTGCCTCCGGGAAACATTACTGGGAGGTGGAGGTGGAAAACGTACTTGAGTGGACTGTAGGGGTGTGTAGAGACAGTGTTGAGAGGAAAGGGGAGTTCCCGCTGCTTCCTCAGAATGGCTTCTGGACCTTGGAGATGTTTGGCAACCAGTACCGGGCCCTGTCGTCCCCTGAGAGGATTCTCCCTTTGAAGGAGTCCCTTTGCCGGGTGGGCGTCTTCCTGGACTATGAAGCTGGAGACGTCTCCTTCTACAACATGAGGGACAGATCACACATCTACACATGCCCCCGTTCAATCTTTTCTGTGCCTATGAGGCCCTTCTTCAGGTTAGGATCTGATGACAGCCCCATCTCCATCTGCCCCGCACTCACAGGAGCCGATGGGGTCACGGTGCCTGAAGAGGGCCTGACACTTCACAGGGCAGTGACCCACCACAACCCACAGGATCAATTCCCTGGTCTCACAGCCATGTAGACAAGCCCTGGCCATCTCAGCAGCCACTGCACAACACCCCTGGTGGAAGACACGCCCTCCCCGCTCTGGTCACATAAGAGGACGTCTTCCAGCTGCCTGTTTCACACCCCGTCCAGACCTCAGCCCCTGTTCACCTCCTGACTAGGCTGTGGCTTTAGCAGTTCATTTGCTTGTTACTGTGGGATGGGATCCAGGCGTAGGGAACTAGTTGTTACATAGCTCCCAGCCAGGAAGAAAGTGTGAGAAGCTGATTGGCAGCGAACCTGCTGTTTAGCATCAGGGTGACGACATTGAGCCCAGTATGCCAGTTGGCACCAGATGCCATGGACTTGGAATGAAGCCAACAGTGTTCGCCAGGATGTGAGAGAAGAGAGGAATCCACACGACCACCGGAGGGGAGAGGGAACCAGATATGCAGGTCAGAGACAAAGGAAGTGGAACCAGAGAGCTGGGAGGGACCAAGGTTGTGAGGGTGGCTGAGTCCCACCGTAACAGCTGAGGGGTCCCAGGAGACGATGGCTCATCTCCACCCAGCCCCAGGATCTCCAGAGCACACACCCACAGGCCTGGACATGGGATGAAGATGAATGAAGAACATGGACATGTGGGTGTGGTTGGGTCAGGTGCCCCTGCAGTAAACAAAGAGTCAGTACTCTGTCCTCGAGTGTGGTTGAGATTTGAGGTCCTGGTGGAGCGGGGCAGTACTGGACCAGATCTACCTGAGCGTTCCAGTTCAGTGGGGGCTCCAGTGACTTCAAACTTTCTGGTCTCATGATGTCTTTAAACACTTAGAAATGATGGAGGATTCCAAATAGCTTTTGTTTATTTTGGTAAATATTTGTTGGTATATATGGCATTTGAGATCGAAACTAAGAAATGTTTTAATGTATTTATTAATTTATATCAAAATAGCATGAATAAGCCAATTACAGGTTAATATAAGTAGAATGTTTATGAAAATATGAGTATGGCATCCAGAGCAAAATAAATTCTATTCAGAAGTGTGGCATTGATTAACTTTTTCCAAATCTAATATCTTGCTTAAAAGAACATGACTGGATTATCATATCTGCCTTTATGTTTGATCTGTTGGGATATCATAGAGTATATAAGCTCAAGAAAACTTTATCCTAGTGACAGACTGAGGTTAAAAACAACAAACTGTGTTTTATTATTAACGTGAAAACAAGATTATTAACTTTGCACACTCCTTAAAAATAGATCAGTTCGGGCAAACTAAGTGAGACCTTGTCTCTCCAAAAAAAAAAAAAAAAAATTAGGTGTAGTGGTGCACACCTGTAGTCCCTGCTACTCAGGAGACTGGATTGGAGGATTGCTTGAACCAGGAGTTGGAGTTTGCAGTGAGCTATGATCCTGCCATTGTACTCCAGCCTAGACAACAGAGTGAGTCCCTGTCAAAAAAACAAAACAAAAACCAGGCACAGTAATCTCAGCAGTTTGGGAGGCCAAGGCAGGTGGATCACCTGAGGTTAGTTGTTCAAGACCAGCCTGGTCAATAGGGCAAAACCCATCTATACTAAAAATCCAAAAATTAGCAGTGGCAGGAACCTATCCTCCTGGCCACTCAGGAGGCTGAGACAGGAGAATCACTGAAACCCAGCGGGGCGTTGGGGGTGGAGGTTGCAGTGAACTGAGATCATGCCACTTCACTCCAGCCCGGGTGAAAGAGCAAAACTCCATCTCAAACAAAGGCAAAACAAAACTGTATGTCAGAGACCCTGTCCTCCCACCGATCCCAGGAATCCTCAAACCATACTGGAGAGTTAGGATAGGGGATTCAGGAAGTAAATGAATGTGATGGTTAATTTTAGGTATCAACTTGACTGGGTTAAGGAATACTAGACAGCTGATGGAGCATTATTTCTGAATGTGTCTCTGTGGCTATCTGCAGAGGAGACTTGGCCTCCCAAAGTGCTGAGATTACAGGCATGAGTCACTGTGCCTGCCCCCCACCTCTTTTTTTTTTTTTTTTGACAGGATCTCACTCTGTTGCCTAGGCTGGAGTGCAATGGCAGGATCATAGCTCACTGCCAACTCCAACTCTTGGTTCAACTCCTGAGTCAGTGGACTGAGGAAGAGTTCTGCCCTCAGTATCTTTGGGTACCTAATCAGCTGTGGGCCCAACAGAGCAAAAAGCGAGGAAGGGTGAATTCCCTCCCTCTCTCTGGAACACTCTTCTCTTGCTCTTCAATATCACAACTCCAGGCTTTGTGGCCTTTGGTCTTTGAGATGTTTACCAGTGGCCATGAGGTTCTCAGGCCTTTGGTGTTTGGACCGAGTTATGCCATCAGCTTGGTTCTGAGGCTCTCCCACTTTGACTGAACCACACTGCCAGAATCTGAGAGTCTCCAGCTTGCAGTTGGCCTGTCGTGGGATTTCTCAGGCTACATAATTGCATGAGCCAATTCCCATAATAAATGCCCCCGATTGGTTCTGTCTCTCTGGGGAACCCCGACTAATACAATCAGGCATCTAAAATGCTGGCTTAATGGATTTTAGACAGCTCAGTAATGCAGTTGTAAAATGAGATTGAACAAAAAGCTGTATATTTTTTATTTTATTATTTATTTGAGACATTTTCACTCTTGTGGCCTAGGCTGGAGTGCGGTGGCCCCATCTTGGCTCACCGCAGCCTCCACCTCCTGGGTTCAAGCGATTCTCCAGCCTCAGCTTCCCAAGTAGCTGGAATTACAGGAATGCACCACCATTTTTTAGCAAGACAAGATTTCGCCATATTGGTCAGGCTGGTCCTGAACTCCCGACCTCAGGTGTTCCACCTGCCTCAGCCTCCCAAAGTGCTGGGATTATATGTGTGAGCCACTGCACTCAGCACAAAAAGCTTTTTTAATAATCTGAAATTATATTACTGAAGTTACAAGTGACACATTATGGGAAGAATCAGGATCATATATTTAAATATCTGATTTGTTAAGGCAGAAAACAAAGTTGTTTATATGTGTGTTTTAGTCTGTCCAGACAGCTATGATAAATAAACCAAGACTGAGTCATAAATAAACTAAAATTTCTTTTCTTGCACTCTGTGGACTGGGAAACCTAAGATCAAGGCACCAGCAGTTTGGTGACTGGTAAGAGTGTGCATCCTTGTTCACAGCCTTTTACATGTGTCTTCACATGGCAAAGGAGAAAAGTAGCTCTCTGGTTGTAGTCCTAGAAACTGGAAATATGGGCTGGGCATGATGGATCATGCCTGTAATCCCACCACTTTGGGAGGCTGAGGCAGGTGGATCACTTAAGGTCAAGAGTTTGAGACCAGCCTGGCCAACATGGTGAAACCACATCTCTACTAAAAACACAAAAATTAGCTGGGCGTGGTGGTGTACGCTTGTAGTCCCAGCTACTTAGGAGGCTGAGGCAGGCAGGAGAATCACTTAACCCAGGAGGCAGAGGTTGCAGTGAGTGGAGATTGCACCACTGCATTCCAGCCTGAGTAGCAAAGCAAAACTTACATCTCAAGAAAGAGAGAGAGGGAGGGAGGGAAGGAAGAAAGGAAAGAAAAAAGTAACTGGAAAGATGAAGTTGTCAATTTCTAAGATGGGGAAACTGAGACACAAGAAGCAAGATGGGGGTGGCGCAATACCAAAGGTTCAGCTGTGGATACATTAAGGTTGAGGAGCCTATTAGAGATACACATGGATGCAAAGTAGTCCATTGAATAACTAAGAGTCTAGGTGAGACCTCAAGGCTGGAGATTGAAATTCTGTACTCAGGTTTCCTGTATGTTTGAAGTTGAATTCTATACTCAGCTTTCCTATAAATTGTAGTGGGTAGAGGGAAGAATTGCATTTTATTAGTAACAGAGTCCTGAATCCCACTGGCTTTGACAAAATGAGAACTTTTTATGTCAATAAATAGGGATAGTGGCCATCAAGGGCTGATCTGAGAGCTTGAAATGTCATCCAAGTCCACGTAGTTATGCCTTTATTTTCTTCTGTCTCAGCATGTGGCTTGAATCTTTAATGGTGCCTCATGGTCACAAAAGGGTTGCTGCACCTCCAGCTCTAAAGTCCATATTCTAGACAAGAGGAAGGAGAAAGTCGGGGGAGTGTAAGGGTTTCCGAGCTGTTTTTGCCTCCCCTTAAATAATCTCTCTGATCAATAAAACTTCCACCCTCAAGCAATTGGCTCAAACTTAGTCCCTTGGCTTCCCCTGTCTACAAATGAGATGGACACTTTGCGATAAGAAAATGGGGTTTTCTTAGGAAGACAAAAGAAAGAAAAGAAAAAAAAGAAAATGGGGTTTTATTACTGAGAAAAGTGGATCTGGATATTTCATAAGCAGCCATCCAGCTCTACCACAGAGCCTAAATTCAAACTGTTGTAATACCACTTTCTATCAGCCAAGGTTTTGGCTAAGTCCTAGGAATTTTAATTACTTTGAGGATCTGTTTTATGACACAAACAAAGGATAGGCCTTTATATTTTATTTGTGACCCAAATAAAGTTGCAAGTGCTAGTGATGTGGGATTTTTCTTCTTGATCACTTTGCAAGCAGGGGACCTCCAGCCAGCAACACCCCACCCAGGCCTTACTCGGCTACACTGGCATGTCCCAGCTCACCTGGGTTGTAGCTTGTACTCACGTTCAGCGGCCGTTCCTGAGCTCTTGTACCGCCCTCAAGAAGAATGAGGATACACTGGACATTGAAGGGTGAGAAGAATTTTTTTTTTTTGCATAAAGGAATATAAAATTATTTATTAACCACTGTTCACCAGTATTTACAATAAAGTAAACAATATACAATTGGATAACATTCTGATTACTGCAAAGTTGTTTTTCCTGGCTTTTGTTGAACCAGTAAAGCAGGTAACTGAAAGACTGAGCGTACATGTAAGGAAAGAGTTGGGGCAAAGAAAAAACATGCAGGTCAATAGGTTAGATTACAAAAGGTTGCTCATACATTATGTCAGCAGGTCATAAACCGCCAACATCTCTATCTCATTAGGTTTCTATGAACCAAGTCTTAGATGTTCCATGAATCATGACCTTTTAGTCAATGTAGCAACAGGGATTTCAACAGTTTGTTAAGGAATGGCCTGCTAGCAGATTTTTAAATGTTCATTTAACTTAGTTTTGCTTAGCTAATTAAAACACACCAGCACTTGTCTAGTTTCTTCATATGGATGGGGAAACCTCCTGTAATGGTAGTGGTAAGTTTTCCTTTTAAGAATTTTGCCAACAAAAAACTACATTTATAGATATAGATGCTTTAAAATTATCCAATTTAAATTGTCCTATTAATTATAATCACTTCTGAACAGCTCTCTGCAGAGAGGCGATGTTGGCACCCTTCTCCAAAGGAGGGAAAGTTCCCTCTGTGTGGCTGGGTCTGGGCCTTTTTTATGGACTCAGAGTGGAAAGGGCATACTAATTGGTTTGTGGGTATGCAAAAAAAGGTTAAAATGAAGACACCATTCAAAGGTGGCCACACAGTGTAGTAAACCAATTAGGAAAGGGTGAGTATATGTAAGGTAGTCGAAGGATGGGGACCAATCAGAGGAAAGTGTGCCAAACAGGAAGACAAGTTCTCAGCAAGTTCTCAATCCAGACTGAGGATTTAACTTGTAGCTTAGCTTTCAGGCTTTAAACTGCCTCTGGCGTGGAGGTGGGATTTCACTGGGGACCCCTCGCTGCCTACCTAGGCATCTGACTGCGTCCTGTCTGCTATCACTAGGTCCCAAGGTTTGTAGCAAGGACCCCTGACAAAGACATCCCTACAGTCTACCCAAAGGTTAATCTCAGAACATATTTCGTTGTCAGAGTGAGAAACAAATACATGTGAAAATACAGTGTGGTGCAGACAGGGAGCTAGAGGTGAATAAAGAAGCTCAGCCTGGTGGCTCAAGCCTGTAATCCCAGCACTTTGGGAGACCGAGGCGGGCAGATCACGAGGTCAAGAGATCGAGACCAACCTGGTCAACATGGTGAAACCCCGTCTCTACTAAAAATACAAAACATTAGCTGGGC